TTCTTAACCTCTCAAAAGATAGAAGCAAAAATGTAAAAAAATTGAGGTGCCGAGCACAAAACATCCTGTATCTCAGAAACTATTGAAAATATTCGCCTAGTCGTCAGGACCTTTTCTATGAGGAATTTCGGGGACAGTCTTTTGCTATTAAGGTTTTTCGGAAATTCCTAATCCTTACAGAGTTAGGCCAAAATTTTGCAGATTTTTGCCCAATTTGCTGGCAGTTTTCACTTTTGCGTAATAAAAAAAAACTCGCCTAATTCCAGATGGCACTCAAACTGGGTTCCACTTGACTCCCTCTCAATTGGAACATTGAAAGGTATAAACCAGATAAGGGGGCGTGAGATGGATCGGTGTCATTTACCAAAACGGTGTCTGCGTGAGGTTTTCTGCCACTTGAACTATGTATCGAAATCGGCTCTGGCCCTGCCAGATTTCAATTTTTTTCGCATATTTTTTGGGCCCCTATCCGATTTCCCTCGGTCCCTCTACCTGCGCCCAATGGAAACGTGCCATATTTGCCTCCAACCCCCAATAAAGTCCCGATTAAACATCGTTAAGCTAAACGCGTATCATTCGCTTGTTTGCAACGCAAACTGCCCTAAAGCTGAACAGACCCTTCATATTGAATTAGGGCGCCGGTTTATCGCATCGTTCGTCCGTTCTGCACCTTGTTTATTATGGCACATTCACAGCGAGAGAGGTCAAGTTGAATTTTTGTTGATTCAAAACATCGTATCGGTTTCACAATCAACAGATTGGCTATTAATAACAACGGCCAAGAAAAATACACATTGCTTTAATTAATGTGCGCTCTCACTAACCTGGGTCAACGTTTTATCGGGCTGAGGTGGCTGAGTTAGTTGCTTTTCACCACTCACAACATACGCAAACTCATCAAATTATCCTTAGCACCAGTTTGCTTTCAATTGATTGATCGCCCAACCAGCAGACTTGTTTTTTAAGATTTTGATTAGAGAATTAATTCATTTTAACGTGGTTCTATAGCTGTATTCAAAAAACCATTAGGCAACTGCATAAAATATGAATAAAGAGTAAACAGTTGTCATACAAATGTTTATACAACACCATTATAAATTATGTTGTAGAGCCCTTATAAAATTTTTCGAACTTGCTTTAGCTGGAAAAATTGTATTTAGCTGCAAGTTTTGCAGACTGGAATTTTTAGGAGTTTTTTCAAGTGAGTTTCAATGGCGATTGTTCAAAATAGTGTACCCTTAACTTCTGCCAAGTCCCAGACCAGACGGCCACAATTTGCAAGATTTCATGTGTGGAACATGAACAAAAGAAAAAACAGTTTTTGCCGAAGAAACCAGAATTTTTACAGTTAAGAAACCCATATGTTTCAGTCGAGAATTCAAGTGAATCAGGAGCTGTTCTTCAATTTCTGCAATAGCGGGAATAAAGCCCCTAAAACAATTACGTTAAAGGGTGCAAGAAAAATAGGATAATTTGCGTTAGTTTGAGCAAAAAAAACAATTTTGAAAAACACACTCGGAGGAACGTCGATCCAAATATGAATCAGACAAAAAATCTAAGTAGAAAACCTCCAAGTTAACACAGCGCTGGAGAACTAAGAAAATATCGAATAATCCACCATAACTGAGCATTTATTATAGAAATATTTAATAGTTTGGACAATCATATTTCTCTTAATCAAGTTCAAAAAAGGGCCCATGGACAAAACAGTATGGAATTTTTCAAAACATTAAACATAAATTAGATGAAAATAGTAGATCGAAAAAGAGGAATAGGAAATATTGAAGCCTGAAGAGAAAAGCAGTCGAAAACATTAAAAAACTAAAAAAATAATAATTCAATGTTTTTGTCACTTCGTTTGGTCAACTGTGTTTGGTGACTACAAGACGAAAATGTTGTCTGATTTTATCGCAAATTTCTTAAAACATCCCGAGAACCTCTTTATATTGTTTATTGTTCAGCCAAAAACGAATACAAACTAATATAAACTGGTTTACGGTTTCCGATTTGGCCCTTCTTATCTTGGACACAGTGTTTACACATTTTGGAAACGTTTTTTGAGATTAAAGCTGTTTTGTGAGTGTAATCTTGAAACTCTTAGTTGGGTCAGCTGTAACAAAAATTGGATTTCTTCCGGCCGGGTCCAGCCTATAGGCCCTAAGTAAACCGGCCTGGCTGTTTGCAGGTCTAATAGAGCCAAGCTTCCTCTATCGAACTGTTTCTACAACTCCACTCTAAATGGTCCTCATTTTGAGAGGGAATTTTTTGAACAAATTCATACCTTCTGGAGTGGTACAAAATCAATTGCATCCTACACATTGAAAAAATCACCAAAAATTGAGGGAAATCGCGACCAGATTTAAATTTTTTGAACCAATAGAACGAAGCTTTCTCTATCTGGTCCTGGTTTTGACTGGGGAATTTTTGAAATCCTGACCTGGCGATTGTTACAAAAACGAATTGCGTTTTTCAGTTTTAAGCCATCAGCCAAAATTGACGAAATTTGCCAGAAAATTGACAGTTGCAGATCTAATAGAGTGAAGGCTTCTCTATCAAACTGTATCTAAAACTATCCTCTAGTTGGTTCTGATTTGGAGAAGGAATTTTCTGAACAAACTCTAAACTACTGCGGGTGATAAAAAATCAATTGCATCCTACACATTGGAAAAATCACCGAAAATTGAGGGAAATCGCTACCAGATTAAAATTTTTTGAGCTCTTGGAATAAAGCTTTTTCTTTCAA